TAATAACTAATTCATAATATGATTCAGTTAATTTGAAAAAAATACTTACCTGTAGAAGATACAATATTTTCAACCATAATTTCACCTAAGTCCTTGAGATAATTATTTTCGAACATATAAAACAGTTTAATATAATAGTCTATTTGTCTGAGTAATGCCAGCAATGGACGAGTAAGAGTACTTGAATATTATTAACTATAGTAACTACCCAGCTAAGACGTCACATGTGGTTTTATTCAATGCATTTTCAAATTAATTTTTAACTTTTTACTAACTCAATATCAATTTATGTGGCTTAAATTTTTACTCAACACAGACTTCAATGATCTTAAACATTTTTTTTTTGAAAATTAAACATTTTTTTTTTTAAATAGGTAAATGGTTTTTTACTATGTTTTCCAGTTTAAAAAATACACAAACACACACAATTGAATGTACACATCTGTTTATTTTATTACTTTTCAAAGCGTGAACTTAGCACAAGACACAATCCTGGATGGTTTAGATTCACAATTGGACTCGACAGGTCCGACCCGGGGAGTTGCTCAAACAGAGATTTTAAGATTTACGAAGAAAATATTCGTTTATATACGGTTGCTATTGGTTGTAGGAGAAATATAAATATATTTAGTAGAAATGGTTATTCTTTTTTTTGTTTATTGGTTCATTGGTTGCCTGCAGTGGTTCATCGAGCAGATCAGGTATAAGCATACACACAATTGAATTTTCGCACATTGCCTATCAAGGTGGCTGAGTTGCACTTATTATAGCCGCTCATCGGCGTGTCCGCAATCAAAATAAATATAAAACTTATTATTTCAATATTACACAGCAGGTGGGCATAATATACTGCTCGCATTATCACCATCGAGTCTCGTATAGAGTTGGCATTTTTAACGCGCAGCAAAGTGCACGGGATCAGCTAGTATATATAGGTACATACATAATCTTTAAACTTTGATACCAAAAAGTTTCTGGAAATGTAAAGACAGTGCGTTTTTGTATTATTTTCATCCATCTATCAGTTATTCAGCATATATCACTTAGTATTATATATTTACTTTTTAAAGTCCCAAAACCACAACTACATTGTATATGCAATCTTAATCAACGGTCCCAACTCGCGGACGTATTCAGTTTTTCGTGTCGCATACAATAATAATATTATTAGACGTTTAGAGAGGACACGACGGGGCTTAAAGACACGACGGCTACCGGTTTATTATTATTATTATTATTTTTTTTTTAATCGTTACGAGAATTCGATTTTTTTTCTTCTACTATTTATTTTTCGTCTTCTCCGTCGTTTTCGCTCTTCTGATCCTTTTATGTCCGTGACGTCGTCATAGTCCGCATATGTGTGCGTGTATATTATATACGTACCAAAACTGCGACCGACTGCCATTAATCAAACCGAAACGACCGCTGTAAACGGACACGTACCTATATATAAATGCCGCCGCCGACTATTGTTACCACTCCCTCGGTCGTGGCCGGTTTTTATTTTATTTATTTATTTTTTAATTTCCACCGGGATGCCGAAAGAGAAAAATTTTCGGCCGTGCTTCTATATAATATACCTGTATATAACGTCCGTTTAATGTCGCTTTAGTTTATACATTTATTTTTTTTTGCCACTCGCATCCAAGAATCCGGTCGAGCACCGAAAAATGTTTTTCGCTTTAATTCAATTCAATATATGACGCGTATATATATATAATTATTGGACGCCGTCGTATGTGTATATACTGCAGTATATAATGTATAATATATATAGAGAGGATACATTTTTTGCACACCGCCACCGTTATGACTACGCGAGTATATATATATATATATGTGTATATGTATAAATGATAGCAACATAGAGCTATACAATACTTCTCGCATGTTGCATCGTTGCACGTACGCCTATATATATATTATATAATAAACCATCTAAAAACCCACTGCAAAGAGAGGACTACTCGACGCTCTCTGTTGCGGACAACAGATTATTATTCGGCAAATTCCAACCGTCGAAATTTGCACGAAACATTTTTCCGTCTCAAACCGACATTTTATATAATATATTATTATTATTTATTGCACACCGGTCGTATAATAATGTTGCTGTATGTATAGTATATTATTAGGTATATATACCTATTATATTATTTTGTGACACGTGGCCCCGATAACGTCTATGCTGCATATTATACTGCACACTGCTGCAGTGTTCGTTATTATCGAGGAGATCCGAATTTTATCATCGACTTTTGAGTATGACTAACCACAACAATATATCATAATATTATGCAAAACGTAGCCGGTTTGCAACGTAGCAACGTTTGAAAGAAACGACCGCGTTTCAATTTCCTAAGAAAAATCATAATAAACGCCGCAATGTATTTTTCTGCTGACTGATGTAGAAAAAAACCGTTATATTTTTTAGAATTTATTTTGTTGGATGGGTGTCATGGTTTAAAGGTCAATATTTTGGATTAAGGTATTTTTTACTACGCATGTGAGTCATATTACAACTTTATTTACAACTTGAGAGACATTTTTAATGCAAATATTGTTCAATTTATCAAACAAATTAAGAAACTTATTTTAGTCACGCTGTAACATGTATATTGTGTATTTTTTTTTAAACACGAGTAATTTTCCCAATCCATCTAGTTGATAATCATTAAAGAAAAAAATGAATTTTACGAAATTATCTAGTCGTGCTACATTTATAATGATATAGAGCCCTGCTAAACTTCACAATATGACAAAAAACTATGTATTTTATTGTAATATGACTAACATCCCTAATAAAATACTATACAGGTTGTAGATGATTATTAATTGGGTACCCAAATAATAACTATATAAACAGTGTTTTAATTCAAACTATGTATGCCGGTTTCAGAATGCAGCCCATTAATAAACAGCATAAATATGATTATTCTCGTTTCCACGCGGCATATATAGTAAATATTGTAGATATTTGCTTTTGCGCATTACTATATCTTTACAAATTTGGAATATTGTAAATTTGCTTGATTATTTTTCATGTAGGTACAAAAAATATAAATTCCCATCTGCACCTGCAGCAGAGCTGATAATAATACGTTTGGAGAAAACGTAATCATCGTTAGCCGATGCCCAACTCTGGTTCGCAAATATTGCACTGTAGAAGATGCATTCACTGCAGACTTGCACTTTCCACGTGTGTTGGGTTGTACTCAACACAGATGGTTTTAGTTTAGAGTAATAATTACATGAAATAAACATAGGCGTGTGCAGTTTGAGATTTCGAGGTCGACCGAATGAAATTAATGCTAATAAATACCGCTGAGAAATCGGTCGAACAAAAACAAAATATATTGAGCAACAATACGATATTCCGGTGCCGGGGTAGAATAAGTACCCAAACGGTTTTCAAAATCGATTTACGAACACTCGCAGGAAGCAGCGAGTATAATATAATATTTCCGCGGTGACCGAGAGTGCACGTGAAACACGCGAGCCGACAGTTAGAACATCAATTACACACACACACACACACACACACACACACACACACACACACACACACACACACAGTCTATATGTATACACTGCGCTCCTAACAACGATAATCATAATATTATACACACAGGTATGACGTATAATATCTGTCGTACACCGACGGCGGTGGCGGTGATTGCGGTTTGATTACGATTATATTATGATTATTATTATTATTATTACTATTATAACTGCTATTATACAAGCGTATGGTATATATGTATATATATATATACCTATATTGTGCGCTTTGTACTAGGAGCCTCTGAATTAGCTTGTCCGGTCGAGTGCGGCGCTGGCCGCGGTGACAAGGAGCAAAAACGATTCGTAGAGGACGATAAAAGATAGAGTTGAACGACACGACAACAACGATTTATACTGCGCAATGTGTCCTGCTCCTAATCTCTACGCGGTATACCACACACACACACACACACACACACACACACGTTCATGCACAATATTATACATTATATACATTACCTATTGTTATATATATATATATATTGTATGTATAATAAATAGAAACAACAGGTGGTCCTGCAGCAGGTATATATCTGTATAGTATATATTATGTACCATAAAGCCGAGTTGTCACCGCCTCCTCGTGGGTGGGTGGTCTAATAAATCATTATATTAGTATTAGCTTATAATATTATGTAAGTACGATTATGACTATTCTATTTTATTATATTATATACAAATAAACCGGCTCATTTATACTATATAAAATGTATGTACATGTAGGTAAGAGTAGTTTACTGGTATTGTGGTATGTAATAATATATACCTATCATCGCACTGTACATAATTTTATGTCCATTTGTGATTTTATGCGGATCAGTATGGTGAGATCGTTATCTAAGTACGTATAACTGCTCAACGTTTTCGTATACGGTATACGAGCGAATAGTGAATAACTCATACAACGCTGATGATGGGTCTGACATGATCTACTGCAGTTGTAGCCTGTACAATATAGATTCTAGAATTCTAGATACATGATGTTATTATAATATTGTCTATTGATCAATGTTTAATCAATGATAATAATATCATGTTGTTTACTATTGGGGTGGTTGTAAGCTCGCCCGATGTATGATAAATTCTCCAGGGTCTACTTCGGTACTTTCGGTACTACCTGAAGGGTATATTTTGTGAACTCTCCCAAGTCTGTAATAATTTGATTTGTCTATCATAATTGTATCGTTACATAGAAATATAATGTACCAAACATACAAATTAAAAAAAAAAAAAAACAAATTTATAAATAACAACAATTAATAAATAAATACATTTCTTCCAGGCGCTGATCCATCAAATATCATGAATAGAGATTATCAGGGTTTATAATGATCATATTTTTCGACATCAGGATAATGATGATTACTGATTAGGTTACCTTTAAATAAACTAAAAAATAATTAAACAACATTTTTTTTTTTAATATTTAGGTTATTCAATCTTACATCTCATTTTATTGCTTATAAAATATTTAATTACATTACTTTTTCTACATTTGAGCTAAATATTACTAGAGCCTAAGAATAATTTAATGTGAAATAATATAGTATTTTCATTAATTATAGAATGGATTTATTCTATAATAAATCATATAATTTTTTTCGCAAGCCTCTTTTTTTTTTAAATTTTGGGAAGGGGCATTGCTCCCATGCCCCCCCTTGTATCCGCGCCTGATTTCTTCAGCTGGATATATGATTATAGTCGAGATAGGTACTATAAAATCAAAAAAAATAATTTGTTTGATCAAATATACATCTAAATTAATTTTATATAATGCGAACTTACAAATTTAAAAGAGTGAAATACATGTACAAATGTATTATAATAATAATTAATGAAAAAAATATAACTTTAGAGAGTTTACCTATTGATCTACTTTGATATACACATCTTATTGTTTCATTTGGTTTCGGCCTGTTTCGTTGTAAATAAATATATTGTGTACAAATTCATCATGTAACCTATACTGGACGTTAAATACATTTGATGATGACGAGTTACGAAATATCCCTGTAGAGTTGAAACATTCAATAAATACGAAAATTATTGTACTTCAATTCTCAAATATTTTTACTTTTCGACTGTCAACGCTGAGTGTGTGTCTCTCTCTCTCCCTCCCTCTCTCTCTATAAACAAACATAAAGTATTTAATATAATATCATTAATGTTTATAATTGCTTACCTATATTTTAAAATATTACATGAATTATATAACATTGGACAACAGGCACATCAGCCAAAATGATGTAAATGACAATACTCATTTTTGTAAATATAATTTTTTATATTTCATATCTATTTCTCAAAAAAAAAAAATACCAAATCATAAATTTATATGATTTATGAGCACGCCAGCACGCAGATAGCTGAGCTGCAATCTACTTATAATATGCATAGCGATGGCGTCAAAACTGAATATGTTTCAAATTGCGAAAATAGAATTCGCCATGTGCAGGCCATTCCACCCACTGTAGACGAGAAGACGAATTGTGTAAGTATATATTATTAATAAATTTGCCTGAATGAAAATAATAATGTGGTGTTATAGGTATGTGTAGTTGGGGTAAAATGTGTGACTCAATGCGGAATAGTTTACATCGGCGCGTATCTCCGAGGGGTGGTTAACCCTAACTTTGAGCTTTTAAGGAATGTTTTCTTCTCGACAGACGTGAAACAGCGTTTTTGGAACTTCAAACTCCACCCATGTGTGACGATGACAAAACCCAAGAGTCGAGAAGTGTCTGTTGAGGAATGGATATGTGGGATCCATTGTATTATTATTATAAGATCGGATTTGCTGTATTTTTTTTTTTTTTTAAATTTCTCTATTGTAGCTCGGAAGCTGTTTTTTTTAACCCATTCATAATATATTTCATTATATTATTGTTGTACACGTCTTGTACTACAGTGTTCTACCTATATTATAATGGTGCAAAAAAAAAAACTATGATAGAATTTAAATAACTCTAGGTACTCGTAAATTATATATCTGTTATTCAGCAATACTCGCAGGCACACCTGGTTTTAATACCATTATCGATTCATCTGGCGCTATGATTATGTCATCACGGATAGTTCAAAAACTCATTAATTTTTAAGATCGATGTATGTAGGAATTAGTTAAAAAATTGGGTAAATATAAAATAACTAATAAGCAAATAATTGTGAATGATTACTACTCGCATGTAGCCTATATATACTATGTAGGTATAATGGGGTTTGTGTATAATACCCTGTGGTCTCTATATGGATATTCGACGAACGTTATTTAGGGAAGATCTACTTGCTAACTATTTTCTTTTGTCCGTTGGTTCGCATTAACGTTTCCCCTTTTATTTCACACTCCAACACAGTCAACCCGAATTTCATTCTGACTCCTAAGTAAGGCAAATGTATTTTTTTAGTTTTTGGAATGAATCCCGCGCGGGGACAGGCTGCTATAGCTGAGTCATTCATAAAAGTGATATTTTTAATCTGCTGCAGTATACCATCATAATATTAATAAATATTAGGTAAATCGACTTTGTTTTATTTTATTGTGTACTAATAATATGTACATATTAATTTATTATAATTCAATAATTTAAATTTTGAATAGAATTGGAAATGGAGAACAAATTGAAAATCAGACAATTTAAGGAACAAAACAAAAAACCAATAGTCCTTTTATTATATAAAAAAAATTTTTAATTTTAATATCAATCAGAATCTTATTATAGATGTTACTAATTGAATAGCCATCTTTATCATTTCTTGTTTTTCTTTATATGAAAAATGCGTAACATCACAATTTTCTCAATCATTGAAGTTGGCAGTTTGCAATAAATTACTCTGTTACTGGAAACACAATATTTACCTACTACCTATCCCCCATGATACCGTATAATTAAGTAGCATACTCGTATTATATATTTGTATGTACCTACAAGCAAACAAACAGATCATTGTCATTATTCAAAATAAACAAGGAATAATATATACGTACATAAGTCTGAATAGTTGATAGTTACGTTCTATATACACACGACCCATGTGTTTTAAATTTGTAATGTTATGTACTTAAAGGTGTTAGCCATGTGTGATGTGTCACGCATTTACAAAACGAACAAATAATACTCTTTTCAGCAAACAACTTAATCTTAACAAAACGTCACACATAATATTAGATGTGTATTATACTAATACCCTATTTTAATGTTAATTGTAATATTTGTATGTAAATAATATTCTTTCATATTTGCTTGATGTTTTCAAATTTCATAGTTTTGAACGAATCAACCAATTATTTTTCAACCCTGTCCGGGCCGTTTCATTTAAAATATCAATTGATGTACTTAAAAACTATACCAGATAACTAAAAACTTGTAACTTAAATATATGCGTTGCTATATTTAAGTATTCAAATTTTCATTTAATTGTTTGACAATTTTGAAATGTCGAAATATAGTTTACAATAGAAAATAGTGAAAAATAGTTTACAATAGCAAAATAGTGAAAAATAGTTATAAATGTAAGCCACCTCTTATTTTCCTCCACCCTTATTTGCACCCATGTAGGTACCTATAATTGATATCATATTTAAACGTTGAATCCAATTTAAAATGCAAAACACCCAAAACTTTATAAATATAAATTTGTATTGATATTTAATTATATTAGTATATCGCACGTGGATTAAAGCTCTTAAATCGCTTTAAACAAAACAAAAAAAGTATAAAATCAAAAATTATCAAAAAGTGAAATACAGTTAAGTATAATAATTTATTCTATGATAATTAATTCTATAATAATCTTATTTACGTATAGTTGATAATGCTGTGTGTTAAAATTGTAAAAAATAGAGCTTTACATCATTATTTGCAGCATATGTACTCAATTTGTAACTCATATAAAAATAAAATATATAAAATACATGCATTATTAGCGTTTTTAAGTTAAAACAATACTTTGAATTTTGATACATAGTTTATTATAATGTATTATATTCTGATACTAATACTATATATACTTATATGATAAGTTAGTTCCTAGTTTCTAGACACGCGGGTTCATTGTGAAAAGGCAAAAACAGAACATTTTAACAAAAAAATTCAGAAGAAAAACAAAATTATATATAATATTAAAAAAAAAATATATTGATATCAGGCATTGTAAAATGTTTAGGTTATAGGAATAAACTATAAAATTTGTAATTTTATTTGGAAAACTTCAATTGCTATTTGTTTCGTACAATTTAAGTATTTCCCACCGAATGCCGAAATAATTTCAATCTTACCTCTGTTGCAATATATATGTATATATATAAAGGAAAAAAACACACCTCAAAAATACTCATGGAAGAACTGACGTATGACTTCCTTTTTATACTTGCTGCAATAACGTCTCATGTATAGAAATACTTACACGCATTCAGACATCTTCCACTTTTGGTTCTCTAAACTTCAGGCATTATCAAAACAGATTGAAGTCTTGAACAGTATAATGTGTATATTATAATGTGCATACACACGCGTATCAACGCATAAATATAAAAACATCACAAGCGACACAAGCGCACAACTATGCTATGTTTAATTACTTAATATTACTCGTGTAATATCATCACAGCACTGCAGGTCACATTGTAGTCTTCAGAACACGCATATAAAGCATGACATACGATTTTTACATGACGTACATTATCACATTATTATCCAAGTTTAAAAAAAAATTGTAGTTATTATTATGTCATTGATTAGATTTAAGAGTATGCGTAACCAATACGCACAGACGTACCTATATGTTCTATAATGTATACACTATATATATATATATATGTATAATAGGTACGTTCACGGTTTTCGTGTATAATAATAATAATAATAATATAGGTCAGTTTTTTGAACGTGTGTGATGAGCCAAATATAATAGCCACGAGGCAATGCGGTGGACATCAAAACGGGTTGGTAAAGAAAATCACATGTACTATATACAATGGTAAACACTACCTATAGATTACGTCTGTATAATGCTCGTTTGTGTGTCAATCGGACGAATATAATAATACGGTTTACCAGCATAATATAAAGGTAACGTTGATGTATGCCTCTATAGGTACAATATAATATTATGTCGTTTGAAGTGCAGGAAGCCGACGGAGGCGTATCGGCCGCGGACTCGCCGTCGTCGGTGTAAATCCGGGCACGCACACGCACGCGTCATCGTGTGTCGAAAAAGATGTGTCTTGTCACGAGCAGCGGAGACGAGCAAAGACTTTGTCCGTCACCATTGCGCGTGCAGGCCATAATGGGCGTAAAGCGTGATATGAACACTGCAGCAGAAGTTTGTACATGTATCATATAATATCGTCGTCATATCGATTATATAGGTACGTACCTACCTATAGAGAGTGTAATAACATAATAGTAATAATAATAATAATAATAATAATAATAGTCGTAGTGGCTATATAGTGAGTAACTAACAACAGCAGCTGCTGCTGCAGCCGATGTACAATAAAAATATATATTACACACACCACGGTTGTCCGTCGAGGAGAATATTGTGTGTGTGAGAACGCATTATTGTTACGCGTATAATATTATGTACGTGACCTGTTGGTACATTGCCAAGTTTCGGTCGGATTTTAATGGTCCTAATGAATGGGAGTGTATATTATAATGTTTGTGTGTGTGTGTGTGTGTACGAGTGCAGATAGAGGGTTTGTTATGTGTGTGCGTGAGAGAGGGAGAGAGAGACAGAAAGGTAATAACTAATAAGACATACATGTGTGTAATATGTATGTATATATGGGAACAACAGTGTTATGTGAACTCGTCTAAAACGACGCTATTTATTATCGTGCATACATATATATTTATAGATTAATATATGAGATCCGAAATCGATAAATGGTCGACATCGATAAAAACAATGAAAATGATATATATAAAATATTATATGAGGAATAGCTGTTGGTCGATAATAAGCAGGTTTACTGACGGCCACTTCCATCGCGGTATTACTATATTAAAACTACTTGTATATTGCTGTGTATATATATATATGAGACAGCACTTTGTGTTATTTTTTAATTCGAATTAAAATTAGGTACCATCTGAAACAACCCCGATTTTTTTTTCAGTAGACAATATTGCGATTATACCTACCATTTTCAAAATGTATGTTAACTTTTTTTCTCAAAATCTAGAAATTAATTTATTAATACTCTGTAGTCCTTAAATGTCATACTTCCCTAACTTTCTCACGCTTATGTTTAGTCGATGGAACTGCTATCGGCTATCGCATAAACTTGTGATCGAATTATTTTTTTTTGGCCGCGCTTAGGTTAATCGTTAATGTATTAGCATATCCATGTTTTATTACTTCATTCATTATGTTAATATAATATTATAACTCTTGTTAATGGTTTACTCGTCATGTTAGCATATTTAATTCTTGAGACTGATTTGCTGCGAAAATACCCTTCAAAGTGCGTTGAACTTTTTCAAAATGTAGAAAAGTTAATGTATCATATTGTAATACTTGATATGTAATTCTTTAATTTTATTTTTATCCAACATTCTCACGCTCATATTGGTCGGTGCAACTTTTTTCATTCTTATAATGAATTAGCATGTCTACATTTTATTTTTGCATATTTCCATACATTATTATAATATAAACCGTCTTAATATGGTTTACTCGTCGTGTTAGATTAATTTAGTGTGACTGATTTGCTACGATAGCGCTATATACTATATATTATAATTTATGAGAATATATTTATTATTTTTACTCCATCGAAACCCCTTGCCGTCCACCCGGTTGCGGTGTGTACATTAATTAACTATAATAATATTGTCGGTAGACGGGAGCACACACGTTTTTTTTATTATTATTATTATAAGTAAATATTATTATTTATTTCTGTGTCCGCCGCCGTATAAGTAAGCTGCGGCAGACAACGCGCACGCGGTTTACGTTTGACGACCATAAATCTTCGACCTCCTGTTGCCTTGATCCACGCGCGGTGAGTGACGCAGGAAGTATTATAATAATACCTATACTGTATATTCGCGGGGATAGAACGTCATCGTCAGTCGTCGGTAAATCATCGATTGTCCGCGAGAAGTCGTCCAATTCACTATATAATATGAACAACAACAATAATAATAATTCACTGTATACTGTAATATTGTATGATAATAATCTTCATCGTCCATTTGGCTGTTTTTTTTTTTTAATAAATCGGTAATTAATGATTTCGACGATCTCATCGTTGTCAATTTCCCGAGATGAGCATCACCGGCTACATAACACAACTCAACATATACTTAAAAAATTGCATTCATATTTGTTGTACATCGTATTTAAATATATTTTGAACATATTTGAACACTCATAACCCATTCAACTATAGATAATAATAGAATATTGTCATTAATTTCAAACACTTTCAAGGCTACAATTATTTATAATCGATGTCATTAATATTACAGTTCTCTTTTTGCCATAATCAACCTTTGCTAAATCAAAAATGCTTCAATTGTCTACTACAACCACAGATTATTTTCATGTTTTCTGGTAGAAAAGTAAATTTGATTCTGTTGATTTTATTTATTGTCTTGTCAGTGTTTTCAATCAAGGGTGGTTCCAAGAGGAGTGGAGGCTAGGGGTAGCGAACCTCCCCAAACCTTATTTAAAAAAACGTTTACTAACTGTTAGATCAAAATTACAAAAAAAAACATATATTATAAAAAGTTTTTTGAAAACTATTACATAGCACTCTCCTCCCCTCACAGCCATGTCTCTGGACCCAGTTTTTAATAAGATTATTAATAAGTGTTAGAGCGATATTTATAGCTATACAAATCGAAGGCATAATATATTTAATACCTGAACAGTATAGTGTTTTCTAAATATTCATTTATTGCTCATATTTTAAATTGTATATATTATACAGGATGGTCAAGAAAAGGCGGATACATTTAAAAACTCTGTCGAATTGTTAAATTTGGTCATATTGGGTTGAAAGTAAAAATAATGTGTAGAGGAACATGGTAATTTTTATTTACAAAATAAAAAAAATGAAAAAAATAAAAAATGTTTAAGTGTAAAATTATTTCATTTAAATGACGACCCTCTTCGGCGATGCACTGCTCAAGACGGTCCCTGAAGTTGCCCATCACTTTCTTCACCATATCGTCCGGAATTTCGACAATTTCACATTTAATTGACTCCTTCAACTGTTTCTTGGTTTGTTCACATACACTTTTGACTTTACGTAGCCCCAAAGGAAAAAGTCACAGGGAGTGATATCGGGGGAGCGCGGAGGCCAGGGAACGTCACCATGTCGGGAAATAACGCACCCGGGGAATATTGTTTGCAAAAAAGCAAAACTTGTCCATGACTACTAAAATTACATTCCCAAGTTACAAGATAACAGTGCCAGCAACCTTGGGAGACCATGCCCTTCCCAGTTATACTAATTTCAAAAACATCCGTTTTCCACTGACCACCCTATATTAATGTTTATTAAAGTCCCATAGGCTGAACCTCGGGATTTAAATTTTGGACCAAAACTTTAAAAATAAAATATCCATATTCATAATTGTTAAATAACTAAAAAAATGTAATACATAATATTATAATACATTAATATTTCAGTTAATGGTATTCTTGCAGTTGTTTTGGCTGCAGAAACAACACCATAGGTCAATAATTATTTAATAATGTGTACAATATTTTAACACTGCTGCAGCAGTTGTCATACACTATATATATAAGCTACATCGTATTATAATATTTTAATACCATAATGTTCATATATCATAATATATTATCGTATATACTATCATATGGACATATATTTTAAGACATCGGACGGTTGACGATTAATTACCATCAGATGCGGTTTGCCCCTTTTTTCCAGGGCTCCCGGCTCACACACACACACATACATTTTATTTTGCGTCCAATGCACATACCACAGCCACGTTTGCGTCGCGCGCACTGCACACACACACACACACGCATACACAAATACTAATGACAACCGGTGCACGTGTGTTTTTACGTAAAATATATTGTACATAATATTATCATGTTAGAGAGACGTAATAATTAACGACATTAAAACCCGGCCAGGGGTCCGTTATTGCCTTTTGCGGTGCGTATAATATTCAAGCAGCGTATACGGAAAAATTTGCAGAGTCGAGTTTGACAAGGTTTTCGCGACGGGGCGTCTATTATTAATTTTTTTTTTAGTGTCAATTATCGGCTCATCATCATCGAGGACCGATCGATGACGACGATCTGGCCGATGAGTTCCGAATCTTATTTGAATGCACTGCCGCCGTATATTATATTTGAATTGTATAATTATTAATTATTATTATATACGTTTAGCTGCACTACGTCCTCTGTACATAAGTGTACAACTCAAAACAACTCTCACTCAAAATTGTATATTTTCATAAAAAGTAATTTTTGTATGCTTATTTTTTTTAAACTTCAGGGTACTTACAATTATTTTGCGAAATGTCAATTATCTAATGGAAAAGTTGGATCGGATCCATTTCATCTATACTACATTATATCAAAAAATTAATTTCTCCAACCTTCG